TTTTTTTGCTGTGCCTGTTGCCTTGTCGTTTTGCCACTAACAATGGGCTGCAAATAGTTTCACCCAGAAAAAAAACAAACGCTCTACATTTGCAGCCGCAGCCGCAGCCGTATCCTCATTCCCAATCTTGCCTCATCAGCATCTTGCTCGACCTCGTTCGTTGAGCCAGCTAATCTTCTGCCCTTTTCTTCTATGTGCACACCTTTTCTTTTTGTCTTGCCATGGACTTTCTTCTTAGACGATCTTTGAGCGATCGGCCGCGTAAGCCAATTTGCCTAGCGGTGCGTATCCTGATGGGTCGTTTGCTAGTGAAGCAATCATGGCCAGGGCAAACTATACTCACACATGCATACAAACATGCAGCTATAACTCAGGGTGAGAGTAAGCCGTAAATGTTGTTTTTGTTATGCCAAAGATTTTCCAATTTACTGTTTTTTTTTATTCGCCGCGCCTTAACATAAATTTTCCTTGTTTGGCTAAATGAGTTTTGGGCTTAGGCAGGATGACTTGCACCTTTCGCTGGTGGTGTGGCAGTGTGCTGGTAAGAGGGGTTTCGACAATATGGGACGAGAACTTTTGCAGAATTTATTAAAATTTTGCGGTTTTCAATATTTTGCTCGGATTTTTGGGCTTTACGAGTGCTTACACTTTGCATTGGAATGGAGTTAGTGGCATTCTTACTAAACCGCAATCAGTTAGATCATTTGCGTTTGTCATTCATTGCCGGCAACTAAAAACACCAAGTTAGACCAAAAGCTCCTCCCGAGCATCGCATCACGTAAACAACAACCCTTTTTCATGAGGTTGGAAAATCCTCTTTTCGCGGGTGTTTCTGAAAATTTGGCTTGTGCTGAATATCTGCATTCGGATTGTAAGATTCGCTATCGCTAATTCTAATCACCAAAAATCTCCAAAAGAATAGCAATATGAAATCAGATGTTAAGAAAGTAGAACAGTTTTCGAGATATTCAGGCAGTTTCTGCAATTCATTTCCGAGTAAATTTCAACCCCTGCCAATTTGAATTCAAAGCGCATCTGATTTAAAATTCAATCGGAAGTGAATTGCAGAAACTGCCTGATAGCTAAATTTCCGTTAAATTATTTTTGGAAACTGTGGAAGGAGCAAATTTCATATAAGAAATGACAGTCCAATGCTATAGGTCAGAACATTTTCTTAAATTTGTAAAGTAGTGTAATTGATTTTTACGAATACAAAGCTCTTTGGTTGACACATATATCAAGATGTCTATTCAGAATGAACAGTTGCATGAGCAGCCCCACCTTGCATGTAAAGCGAATTGCAAATTGCTAGTGCAGCACGAGCAAGTTGAAAAATATTTCCGAAATCGATTTACACTCTCTCAATTGCAGTCACATCTTG